TTTTAAGGCAGTTTGAAAAATAATGGTCCAAATGTTAATCTCAGGAAGTTGGAAAAAGAACAGAAAATTAACCCAAAGAAAATAGAATGAAGGAAATAATACATAAAGACAAGAGAAGAAATTAGTAAAAAGAAAAATGCACATGTTAGATAGGATCAAAATAGTTAACAATTGGTTCTTTGAAAATGCTAATAAAACATACGAATCTTTTTTTCCCACTTCTGGGAAAAATCAGAGCATATTATATCAGAGCATCTCTATAAGTAAAAGACACTTTAAAAGTTGATGAACATATAAAAAAATACCCAGCTGTGTGAATACAGATGAAAGAAACCATAGCTGCCAGGATCTGAACTGCAAGGATCATGTAAAGAATTGTATGCACTGAAGTAAGCCCAAAATTCTTCATCACTTTCCTCCTCAAGGTATTTAATGATTCCTAAAATTTACAGGATGAAAAACTAAGAAGCCCAATTGATAGAAAGCTAAGAGGCTAAAAAGTTAATCAGAAATTTCAAGGGTCAGGCACTGCAGGGGACACACAAAAAAACTGTTCAGAGTTCACCAAGAAAGAGAGGTGGAGTCTGGTAAACACCCCAGACTTCATTTGTGAAGGAAGAATACAGCCAAGAACTAAGAGCAAAGGAAATAGGCCACTCTTCACAAAACCGAAATTCATTCTTTAATTATTTTGATTCAAGATTGGATCCACATACCCTTCCCTTAATCTAATTGTCAGATGGAAGAAATTAAATCATTTCTAGAGGAAGATAAAATAATTTAGAATTTTTAACAGTTTTATATACTATATTTATTGGGTAAAAAAAAAAATACTACACGTGCCAGAAGACAGGACTGAATGTACAAAAAACAAAAAGAAAATAATAAATAATAAAACAGGTGATCCAGATAGTAGATTTATAAGACATAAACTTAAAAATAACCATGGCTGTTATGCTCAAGAAAGAAGGAACAGGTTAGATAATATTACTGGATATCAATTGCCTATTGACATCTATTAGAAAGAATCAAATAGAACTTATAGAACTAAAAACTATGATAACTGAAATTAACCACTCTCAATAACGGAGTCAAAAGCATATTAGACATATCAGAAGAGGAGTAGGCAGAAAGAGAATCAGTATAAAATAGCAACTCAAGCTCAGAGAGGATATAATGACGTAAAATATGAGGAAGAACATAAGGAACATATGGGACAAAATTTTTTTTTAAATGTAACCTGTATAGAATTGGATAACTAGAAAAGAGAAAATGCAGCAAAAGTAATACTTGAAGAGGTAATGACTAATGATTTTCTAAAAGGAAAGAAAGACAAGACACAGATTTCGACAGTTCTATGAACCATACCCTGGGAAATATACAAAGAAAACTACGACTAAGCATGTAATAATGAAATTCCTAAGGAGAAAAAAGATGAAGAGAAATTCTTAAAGGCAGCTGAGGGATGGGCGGCTGGATTACATTATACGCACAGGAACAAAGGTTTGCTGTCAATTGGCTTTTCATCTGGAGGCCTGATGGAGGCCCAAAGACATGGAAATGACATCTTTAAAGTGATAAAATAAAATAATGCCAACCTAGAATTCTGGGCATAGTGAAAATGTTCTCAAAAGAGAAATAAAAATGATAACTGACAAACAAAACTTAAGAGATTTCACATGGAACGTT